AGAGTCACAGCATGTGAGTAGACTGAAATTCAGGACTACCACACAGAAGGGAATCCCTAGTAGTAATTTATGAGAGGTTTCTGCTTACTTTCACCACGTGTACAGTTCAAGTAGAGTCAAGCTGCTGAGGGAACATTTTCCAAGGATATACTTTTACCCTTGCGTTTCAAAACAGCATATGTGTCCATGAAAGTAAACATGGACACGCTGACTCTTCAGTGTATAACGACTTAAATATATCCAAGCATTTCTCTACCAGCACTTCCCTCATACTTCCAGCTGATAGGATATGGAGCATGTTCCAAGTTGCGTGGGCATTTGGCTATTGTTTAGGTATTTCCTCTTCTCTCCTGGCCCAGTCTCCTTATGGAAAAATAAACAGAAGTGTCAAAAACTTTACAAAAGACCTGTTCTATTCAAATTGCCGGATTGGTTTTGAAGGCTCAAATTTTTGTTCTTCCTAACAGGATGGAAATGCTGACTTTACAGTTGCTTTGAACTGCCAGAATGGCCCTAAGCAGTTGTAGAAAGGCTAAGAATCTGAACCAGAAAGTCTGGAATGGCTCCAGAAAATCATCCCAAATCTCCTATGCTATACCAGCTCATGTTGCCAAAGGAACAACATCCGTTGCTTTGGTGCTGTGCAGCGCAGCTGTGTGACTATTCAAAAGTACATTTGAAAACTGCAAAATCAGCAGGCTTCATTTGCATCCAGTTCTGGGTTCTCAAATCGGTCTAATTTAGCAAATACCCCACAGGAATAGGAAACACTATGAACATATTGAGATAATTGAGAAAATTCAGGGAAAAAATGCAGGGAGTTATTATGTACACTAATCATTATTTCTCTCACTTATTCCAATTTGTTTCGCCTGCTTTTGTTTAACTGTTCTTTTTTTCTTCTTATATTTTTTCCTCTACTCTTATTAACCTATGAAACAAAGGCTTATGAGATACAATTAGAAAAGAACTTGTCAAATTTATTTTAATACAAGAATTATGTACTGCTATAGTATTTTGGTGGCATTCGCAATTACACATTAGGATAAAGCCTATAAGGATTATGATTTTAAAATGATTGTCATCTGCTGTTAGGAAGAGTTTTTTCCCTCTATAGAGGATACTACGTAGCACATTTAGGTGTATAAAAAGGATTTCATGCCTCTGTCTGAAACACTGGGTTGGTATTTATTTATTCATTTATTCATCAATTCATTCTATTTCAGTAATACTTCAGGAGTTCAGTCAGGGGAACTAGTGTGGTAGGCACTGAACAAATGAAATCCAAAACATCCTTGATCCAGAATATTTACAATGAATGATGCAACCGTAGAATTAAATATTCTCCTTCTATTCAGTGTCTAAACAGACAATTAACCTTTTCCCAGCATGGTAATTCTTGAGACTTGCCTCAGGTCAGTGAAGTAACAGAAAAGAAAAAGATGAAGTGTGATAATAAGATCAGCTTGCAAGTTGATGGAATTCTTTTCACAGTTGCTTCTAAACTTTCCACAACAAAAGAAATCTGGTCCCTACATAGTCACCCAGTACTTGATTGTATGCTCTACTCAGCATTTTATATTAAGCAATATATGGCTTAAGTTTTTGAGGTCAAAAACATCAGTTCTGGCACCTGCTACAAGTGAAGACAACTGTCCATTAAGTGGTCACACAGTACTGTCAGTCACACATACTTAAGCAATACCCGCTCCTGTGTGGAAAAGAGGGTTCTTCCACACACTTGCATATAAAAATGCTCTTTAGATTCTCTTTGCATCCTATTTATATTCAGAAAGGATCTAATTAGCTATGTCTTCTCACTCCTTGGGTGGACCCTATTTCCCTCTTCTGTTAGTTGGCATTGTGGCCCAAACTAACTCTGCACCTTCCCTGAAGGAGACCCTAAGGGTTCATGTTACAAAGAATTCCACATAACTAACTTCTTCCGGCCTCTATTTGCATATTATGCTTGGAAAAGTTGATGTAGAGACAGAATGAGGCAATGTGAAAGAAATTTCCTGAATTTCCTAAGCCCCTAGGAAACCCTGGAATAACTATAATAGTCGCATTGTTGCAGTAATTTGCATTTAAGACCAAAAAAACCCACCAGAAAATCTTCTCATAGATTGGTTAAAAATTTGACCTCCTTATTTTTGCACCGCTATACTACAGCATAGCTCCATGTGGCCACATGTCTTTTGTCTCCATGTTTCCCCTGTCTTTGCATACCATTTTTCTTTAGATAATACTGTCCTTCATCAGCCCTTCATTTCATGTCTTTCCAAGATCTTAATTAAAAAATATTGTTCTACGTTTCAATAGATAGCTCTAAAAAGTGCAACAGGTTAGCAAGACGGAGATAATAATTTAAAGGCTGAAGAAGGAAAAGAGATAGGAAAAAAACATGTGTTTCTCTCGGTCAGCAGAAAAGCTTTTGGTTTCTTATGGTCTTTCATTAAAGCCTTACTCTCCAATGTTTGTATACAATATAGAAAGCAGAAAAAAACAGATAAAAGACACTCATTCATGCATAAAATGCAAACAAAGAAAAAAAAATCATTGCTGAGTACGGTTTTTGTGTTTTTTTTTTTGTTTTGTTTTGCGTTTTTTTTTCTTAAATCCCTATAAAATAAAATAATAATAATAAATCATTTTAAAAAAAGTTCAGGTTTTTCCCCTCCCCAAAACTGCGCTGCTCCGGGGGGAGGGACGCACAAAAATATTCCGCCCCCCCCGACCCCTCTCGAAAATTTGCTGGAACGATAAAAAATGGGTGGTTTAACGCTGAAAAAAAGAGCTATTTTTGGAGCGTTGTCCCTCGAGCAGCTCCAAAATGGGGTTTTTTTGCCCCAAAATGGTGATTTTTAATGCAGTTTTATTTTTTTTTTTTTTTTCTCCCCCGGTTGCATCGATGGTGTTTTTTTAGAG